TTCACTTCTTTCATTAGTTTCATTAGTTTCATTAGTTCCAATTCCTGTATTTCCTGCATTTCCTGCATTAGTTCGTTCCATCTTGCTTAACTGAACACAGCCCTGTAAGGAAACTGTTAGTGATTGCACCGCCGTATTTAGCTTTCGCTATCGGAGCGTTCGTCTTGATGCTAACATTTTCACGCTATAGTCAAGACGAACGAACGAAAACGCTGTATGTAAGCAATAGTGCTATAAGCGAAAAAGCGTGCAAGACGAACGCATCCTATGTATTACATATGCATGTTGGTACACAGCGCGTCATTGAATCGCGGAATAGGCGCGGGATCGGAAGGCAAGCGGGGTGGTTGCTCGCCAACAAGCGCCATACGAATCGTACGGCCCGCTTGCTCTCCGATCCCCGCGCCTATTCCGCGACTCAGTGACGCGCTGTGTACATTTAAATTTGACATTTCGGCATTTTCATTTAAATTGTACGCAAAGTGTTTGTCTAACACCTGTCTGTTTTTGACAGAGTCTGCTATCAGTGTTAGTTGTTTCTGAAACTAATGTACATATGTATTTTAGCTGATATTTATATATTTGTTTGACAGATTATGCACGTGCAAATTTCTTTGTTCGAGCACTAAACGGATTCCTAGCATTTCGACGTCGTGAAAAATTCTATAGTGCATTCCATTTGATCGCAACGCTTTTTTTTTTTTATCTCTGTTTACCTTTCGACGAAAAACAAGGATGAAATAATTCCATGAGCGTTGCGACTGCCAAGTTGAACGCAGCGAAAGGTTGCAACCGTCGGACGAACTGCCTTCGCGAGACGAAATCCGATTGGCGGACATCCAACACGAGAGGAAGCAGCGCGCACGTGAGGACGAACGGCTCATGGAAATGGCCAACGAGGAGGCGCAGGCGCAGTTGCAACGCCTCTTAGCAATAATGGAAGAGGGCGCACGAGACCAGGCCGAGAATGATAGCTCGGAGGGCAGCACCATCGACCGGACAGACCTATTTTGGGCGGACCGGGAGATTTGAATGGCCCAGAAAAATTTGAAACAAAAATGCCAAATAAAAATATAATAGAATAGGAATAATTTAGCTATAAAAGAATTAGAAATATAAGTTAGGGATAAGGCGACATAGTCGGCATAAATAATATAAGATTATTAGGAGAAATTAATTGCGATAGGTTTAATTTGGTGATGGTATAATTATTTTTTCTTCTGTTTATTATTATTGTTATTATAATTAGTATTAGTTAAGATTAGGAATAAAACAAGAATAAAATAAAAATCTTAATATAAATTTATCATTTATTTTGTCACAAAAAAAGGGCGAACACGTAAAGAAAAAAAAAAATAAGAGAAACAAAAAAGTAAAACCTCCGTGCGGAAACTGCTGCACAGAAGAAAAGCGCACAAAATATAAGATGAGCGAGTACACAATTCCAGAAGAAAAAAAGTAATTTAAAAAAATAAAGACTAGTTTAATTTTAGAGAAGAAGAATTCACAGATCCGCGAAACGGAAAAACGAATCTTCTGGAATGGTGTAGAAAGAGCGAGATAGAATCTTCTCGAAACCTCGATGATCCAATTTTAAAAAATTAAGGAATAACACAGGTGCAAACATGATGGGAAGAGCGCTATAGGAAATGGAAACCGGAAAAAAAATTTTTTAAGGATGAAGCAATAAAAAAATTGATCACGAGGATTCCAGAAGGATCGAAGGCCCGCTATAGGGGAGAGGGAAACCGCTATATAAGAGCGCGGGTTGAACCAAAAGGGGTCGTCAGATAACGAACGGTCGAGCGATTAA